CTACTCAGGAGGCTGAGGCAAAAGAATTGCTGGAGTCCAAGAGTTTGAGGTTGCTGTGATCTATGACATCACAGCACTCTATCAAGGCCAACAAAATTAGACTTTGTCTCAAAAAAAAAAAAAAAAAAAAACCTGTTTGACACCATAAGGTTCCTTTTACAATTCTGCAATGGGCAATGGGCAGGCGGCTGTTTTAGAGTAGCTTGCGCGCCAGGGAAAGCACTTTACAGGTTACTGAGTGACAGAAAGCCAACGGCTTATATATAGATCCTGCGACAGTATAAGTCTTGGAGTTTAAGAAAAATGCTACTTTTTTTTCCTAGAAGGACTTGGAGAATTAGCCTAAGAGGGGCACAAACAAGATTAAGAGAATTTATGTATCCCTACTCAAATGAAGTGGTCAGTGGGTGTGATGCGTGTCTCTCAGCATTTAGTTTCCTTTGCTTTGCAGACTTCCTGATTAAATTAACATTAGGGAGACCTTACACTGCTAGGAAGAAACACTTATGAACCACTAATCCTGTTTATGTTAGAGGGTTAAAGCACTGCTTGGTCAAAAACATATGCAAAAATAGGGCCAGGCATGGTGGCTCACACCTATAATCCCAGCACTTAGGAGGCTGAGGCGGGTAGATTGCCTGAGCTCATGAGTTTGAGACCAGCCTGAGCAAGAATGAGACCCAGTCTCTAAATAAACAGTTGGTTTTTTAGTGGTGAGCACCTATAGTCCCAGCTACTTGGGAGGCTGAGGAAAGAGAATCACTTAAGCCCAAGAATTTGAGGTTGCTGTGAGCTATGACACCACAGCACTTTACCAAGGATGACAAATTGAGACTCTGTCTCCAAAAAAAAAAAAAAAAAATACAAAAGTTTCAGGAAATCCTTTTCCTAGGATTAGAATTTATTAATAAATATATATTTTTAGACCAGAGATAGGCTCTTTGCAGTTAAGAACACGTGACCGGTCATTTAGATAAGCTAGGAATATCTACGAGGCCATCTCAACCAGCTGAGCTGACAGTGGACAATAACCTGGCTCTTCAGGGGGACCAGACTCTGATGCTGCTGGCAGCAAAAGGACCATTATGCCCAAGTGCGGGGGCAGCACTTCCACATGAGAGGTGTCCACAGCCCTGGCTCACGGCCTGCTGCCTGTCCTCTCACAGAAGACAGCTGATGCTCACTTGCCACCGTCACTGAGAGCTGAGCCCTAACTCTACTCAGGGAACCTATCAGAATTTGAGGGAGCGTCTATAATCACTTCGAATACATTAGAAAGCTGAGTGAGCCAGGAACTAAAGACTTTGTTATGGCACAGGTCTCCACTGATTCTGACGCCCTGGTGAGCACTCAAGAGCTGCTGCTCTAGAGAGCAATGGGAAGTTTTCTGATTCTTTATCTTGACTGATACCGTTTAGAAGCAGAATACTTTTTCTCCTCATGAGTATTTCTTAGACCCTTACTCTTGCTATAGTGGAAATAAATCTGGCTCAAGTTGGAGCAAGCAGCATTCTTCTTCTTCTACTCTATAACAAACATTTCATGAAAGCAGTTTTTTATTAAAATAGCATAATCCTCCTTAGTTCCTGGAGGGAATTACAGATTCATAGAATTTTATAGCTGGAAAAAGCTTTAGAGCATCTAGAAAAATACCCTCACTTCATAAATGAGAAAATAGAGTCTACAGAAGTAGTGGGACTTGCCCTGATTACACAACTAGTAACAAGCAGAGCCAGCAGACCAGGTCTCTTACTTCCGAGTCAGTCTAATACAAATTACACCATAACCTGAAGAAAGAAGAGAGATCCCAAACTGAAGGGATAGGAAAATTCTGACATTTAAGAAGTTCAGAGTGAAAATGAACAGAGGTTAGCAGGTTAATGAGGAAAAAGAAAGGTGTGGCAGTCCTTTTAAAGAAATGCTGCGTGCCACAAGAGAAAAATTTAGGATTGAAGTCTGAAATTCAGCTAAACTCTCTGGCAAAAACCTGAGATATTATGTGAGTGTAGAACCCTTAAATTTACAGAAGTGATCAAAGTCATCTAGTAAGTAGGTAAAGTTAGGATTAGAGGAGAGAACTGGACAGTTTGTATAAGGAAATTGGAAAACACAAAGAAAGAATTAGCCCATTCCATTCCCTTACGATGTTAATCAGGTCTTTGTTTACATAAAGCTCTTTGCTATCAGAAATTCAAGAAAATCTTTTGGCTTAAATAATCACTTGTACACAACAAGGACCATTCTAAGGCTTTATACTTTAAGAATTTCTGCACATTCTTCTCCCAAGAGCACTCTTCCCTTCTTAAGATATGCTGCGCCTTGGTAAAGAGAGATTAAAAACAAACACAGAAAAGAAGCAACTTTGGTTTTCTGATCAATGAAGTATTTTACTGAAAGAAAATATTCCCACTCAGAGAAGCACAAAGTGAACAAAACTAAAACTCATTCTGGTATTTTAATACTACGTTGTAACAGCCAATTTTCCAACTGTTCTTCAAGATGGAAAACTTAAGACTCCAACGACGAAGACAACAGATCTGTGGCCAGCACAGGAGTCAGATGGACCAACTGGTTCAGGAAGAAGCTTTCTACTGATTTGTGAATAATCTGAGCAAGAAAGATTACATACACGCTTATGGGGGACAACGATTTTTTAGGCACCACAGGTGAAAGTACAGAAGAAGAGTTGCTGAGAAGCCTCAAACAAATTACAGAGGACCTACACAAAATCAGGTGGACAGAGAGATGAAAGAAACTCTTTAAATGATACATCTAGTAGTGGGAGTGAGTCTGTAATAGACTGTCTTACTTATTTTTGGACAAACAAAATATGATAGGAAGTGATCAAACAGAAAACCAAGCTTGGACAGCAGCAAGCCAAAGAAATCCATCTAATAGATTTCAGATGCAGTGCAGGGATAAATTTTAACCCTCATCATGGGAGCCCAAATCCACAGAATATGCATCATCTGTGAGACTCCCCCAAGGGGAAAAAATACGGAAAAACAGCCAAAGGCAAATGGAAAATCAACAATCTGTGTCAAAGTTTGCAAGGCCATTTAGACCAAAATGAAGTCCCAACTACCAGAGGTCAGAGATGACTGACTGAAAAGCAGGAACCAAGACCATCAGAGAACCAGAATGAGAACTTAGGGTTGGTTGCCTCCAAACTCACAACGTCAAATTTCAAAAAGATTTCATCACACTACACCATCTCAGACTTTTGAGCAGCCCTCTGATTAATGAGACAGAGACATTTTCTAAGACTCAGTAACATGAAACCCTAAGTCAGCAATGAGCTGAACCCCAGCTGCAAAGTGGGAATCTTTTTCCAACATCAGGGAACTGGAAATGCCTTGTCAGGAGAACATTCTTTAGATCACACCAGGAACGCTGAAGATGGAGACCAGGAAATCTAACCATAGTCCTGCATGTAACAGCAAGAAGAGTTCATCCTGGAACATGTTTGCCTAGAGACCAATATGTAACAGAACTCAGTTAACATGAGACATCAAACACTTTCACTTTAGAAAGTCAACAAGGAGGACTCAGAAATGTTTTCACATTCTGTTCAAGCAGGTGTAAACTTACGTAAATATCAACAAAATTCTTGTTCACAGAATTTTAAACACTAATTTAAATAAAACATCTATTCAACTCAGAGACCATTAAGGCAAATAATGACAAGATTTGCTGACTTGAGTAATCTCATGGACAGTGATAGTGATTTAGATCCTCGTGGCTCACTCCCAAATCAAAACATGGAAAGGGCAGTCATAGAATGAAAGAGATGGTTCTAGGCCAAGTGCGGTGGCTTGCACCTATAATCCTAGCACTTTGGAGGCCCAGGCAGGAGGAATGCTTGAGGCCAGGAGTTTAAGACCAGCTTGAGCAACAATGAGACCTAAGCTCAAGAAAAAAATAGAGGAAAATTAGCCAGGTTTGGTGGCACACACCTGTAGTCCCAACTGCGCAGGAGGCTGAAGCCAGACCATCACTCAAGCCCCCGAGTTTGAGGTTGCAGTGACCTATGACACTACTACACTCTAGCCCGGGCTACAGAGTAAGACCCTGTCTCAAAAAAGAAGATGAAAAGAAAGGGGAAGGAAGGTTCTAATGTCAGTAGTTGTCCTGGCTCCCATTCAAGTCATAGCCTGCTTCCAAGTTGAGTTTTGTAGTATCAAAATCAGCCTCTAGCTTTTGAAGCATCTACTTTTCAAGTGACACTTATACATGAAACCACAACCTGAACTGTATCATTGGTTCCTGAAGAAATGAACTTTCCTCAATTTCTGTTTAAGAATAAAAGAAAAAAGCTCAGTGCCCATAGCACAGTGGTTAGGGCGCTGGCCACAGGTACCGAGGGTGGTGGGTTCAAACCCAGTCCAGACCTGCTAAACAACAATGACAACTACAACAACAAAAATAGCCAGGTGTGGTGGGCACCTGTGGTCCCAGCTACTTGGGAGGCTAAGGCAAGAGAATCGCTTAAGCCTAAGAGTTTGAGGTTGCTGTTGATTTGTGACACCAGGGCACTCGACTGAGGGCAACTTACTGAGACTGTGTCTAAAAAAAAAAGAAAGAAAAGAAAAGAAAAAAATGCTGAAGAATTAAAAAAGAGAAGATATTCTTAGAACAAGTATTCCTCTGCTACAAAAGACTGCTGGGTTCTAAACAAGTCAGCTTTTATGACACAAAGGGAGTATCATCTAGCACTTTTAAAGATGGTAAAAGATTAGATCTAGGAACCTTTAGTCATGAAGAAAGCAGTTAATCACACCAGGCTGTGTTTGTGTGTACACAATCACAAAGTAGCCTGACTCTATACAGACACTTCTTAACAAACAAGTTTTCCAACTTTAAACAAAGTTTTGAGATCTCACAAAACCCAGTAATACAAAATCTGTCTGTGATCTGAGAAGCTGCTGTCAATATTGTAACTGGATGTTAAATATAATCCTGGCATATCAAAAATATTTACACTGCAGCCAACATATAAGGTCAATGAGTAGAAAAATTATTTATAAATGCACATATATATATACACAAAGAGCTCCCTTAGCAATAAGGACAAAAAAAAAAAAATCTCAAGAATATGAAAGCCTTTGACCTGGTACCAGTTGGTCAAGCCTGGAATTCTTGCCACAGACCTTGAATATCAAAGCCCCAATCTCAACTATCTGCTTAAAATCACTAAAGAATCTTAAGCACACTTGCCAGAAGGCTCCAAAGTTACTTTTGCTCCTTAGAAGGCAAAGTAAAACATCCAAGTAGTGATGTTTCTCAGGTCATTCTGAGGACTGGGACAATCCCACCTGTTCAGCAGCAATGACCCTCTTCCTGACAGGCAATGCACACCTGGACACATGCCTGTGGGAGCATTAGCACTTGCCTTCTCTTCCCTCTGATGCTGCACATTTTCAATCGTATGTACCCATTTCTGTCAGCTGTTACCCTTTCTTCACCAGGGATATGCCCAAACTAGTATGTGGCCCACTTTGGTGTGTCAGATGTCATCATAAACATAGAGCAAAGCAAATGCTGACTTTGGGGTTTTTTCTGAACTCCGAGGTAGTAAATACAAAATGAATTAATGAGTCTTTGCCCAGATTTCATCCTGAAGTGAGTTTCATGTGCCCTCACTACCATCTTGAATGTTCCGAGTCCTATTAAAATTAAAAGTGTGGTCCTGTAACCTGTGGCAAGACGTGGGGGAGGTGGAACAGTCTGGATCCCTTTCTGCCAGACCCTCATTTCGGTGAAGTTGTGGTGACTCGAGGACTGGCTGCTGGGAAAAGTGAGGATGAGGCAGGCCTAGTTCTTTGTTTATGTTCCACAGAGGCCGCTGCGATGTTTCTGGGAAGAAAGAAGAGAATCATCATTAGTGACTAGAAGGTCAACATTAATTTTCTAAAACCTAATTTTTCTGAACCAAATCCTCAAAGAAAGAAAGAAGCCCAATACTCCTAAAGACAGAGCAAACATCCACTTGCCACCTGTTTAGCCACAACAAAACAAAACAAAATAAAAACCAAACATGGTCATTCAAATCCTTCTACTCACCAAACCTAACCAAGTATATATTGAGACTATGCTATTAGTGGTTCTGCTGCTACAAAAATTAAAAAATAAAACTCCGTAGACACATAAAGAAGAACTAAAAGAGGTTGGTACAAAAGTAATTGCAGTTTTGCATTGCTGAAATTTGCCATTTGATATTGGAATACATTCTTAAATAAATGTGGCTGTTATACATCATTTTAAGGTGTATTTCTCGCTTTTTTTTGCTATTGATATACTACTTGCTATTTATTTATATTTCTTTTTTTTTTTTTTTTTTTTTGAGACAGAGCCTCAAGCTGTACCCCTGGGTAGAGTGCCGTGGCATTACAGCTCACAGCAACCTCCAACTCCTGGGCCCAAGCGAGTCTCCTGCCTCCGCCTCCCAAGTAGCTGGGACCACAGGCGCCCGCCACAACGCCCAGCTATTTTTTTTTTTTTTTTTTTGGTTGCAGCCATCATTGTTGTTTGGCGGGTCTGGGCTGGGGATTCAAACCCGCCACCTTAGGTGTACGTGGCTGGCGCCTCAGCCGGTTGAGCTATAGGCGCCGAGCCTTATTTATATTTCTTTTGGACTGTGGAAATGAAGTTAGACAAAAAGCAAACTCAAGTGATTTTCTTATTTGAATTCAAAATGGGTTGTCATAAAGCAGAGGAGACAACCTGCAACATCAACAAGGCACTTGGCCCAGGAACTGCTCATGAACATACAGGGCAGTGGTGGTGCGAGAAGATTTGCAAAGAAGAGGAGAGCCTGGCAGATGAGGAGCAGAGTGGCCACCCATCAGAAGTTGACAATGCCCTACAGCAGTGATAGAATTACACAGAAGTTGACAAAGAACTCGGAATCAACCATTCTGTGGCTGTTTCGCATTTGAAGCAAACTGGAAAGGTGGAAAAGCTTGATAAGTGGGTGCTCAAGAGCTGACCGAAAATCAGAGCAATTGCCATTTTTAAGTGTCTTCTCTTATTCTACACAACAACAACAACAAACCATTTCTCAGATTGTGTTGGGTGGTGAAAAGTGGATTTCATACAACTGGAAATGACCAACTCAGTGGTTAGACCAAGAGGAACCTTCACGGCACTTCCCAAAGCCAAATGTGCACCAAAAAAATCTCATAGTCTTTGTGTGGTAGTCTGCTACCGGTCTGATCCCCTACAGCTTTCTCAATCCCAGTGAAACCATCACATCTGAGAAGTGTGTCAGCAAATCTATGAGATGAAGTGAAAACTACAATGCCTGCAGCCAGCCGTTAGTCAACAGAAAAGGCCTAGTTCTTCTCTGCACCAACACCCAACCACATGTCGCACAACTAACACTTCAAAAGTTGAACAAATTGGGCTACATAGTTTTGCCTTATCCGCCATGTTCACCTGACCTCTCACAAACCGACTACTTCTTCAGGCATCTCAACAACTTTTTGAAGGGAAAATGCTTCCACAACAGGATGCAAGAAATGCTTTCCAATAGTTTGTGGAATCCTGAAACCTGAATTTTTACACTATAAACAAACTTATGTCCCATTTGCAACAATGTGTTAATTGTAAAGGTTCTTGTTTTGATTAATAAGATGTGTCTCAGTCTAGTTATAATGATTTAAAATCCATGGCCCACAACTGTTACTTTTGTACCAGCCTAAATATATCAGGTTATCTGCACTGTGGTTTCAAAAATACACATTTCTCATTCGTCTTATTTACTGCAGCTGTGGGCTGTTTTCCCAAGAACTACTTACTAAAAGTTGTATTAAGTTCATGGAGTGAATTTTGGGAAAAGCTGGCCAACAACTATTTATGAGTTGGAAACAAACACTTAGAAATAGTAGTAAAAATAATAATAAAAGTGAAAATGTGAAAAGTATGCTAACGCCAAGTTTCTCAAGCTTTAATAAGCACATGAATAACCTGGGGTTTAGCTAAAATGCCAACTCTGATTTACTTGGTCTAGGGACTCTGCATTTCTAACAAGCTCCTAGGTAATGGTGGTGCTGATAGTCCACAACCACACTCTGTGTAACAAGAAGCTAGAGTAGCTAGCAATGTGCCCAAGCACTCCCCTTTGCTATTTCCTCACCTACAGATCAGATTAAAAATCAAGATGTCCCTCAGGTTAGCAAAAAGATAGACTACACCTTTGGCTCTACTTAAATACTACCCCTACAACTCTTCTAGGCCATGGAAAAACAGATTTGGTATTGGTGCATTTCTTTCACCAACACTGAGTGTAAAAACAAGAGACTAACTTCAATAACAGTACTTTCTCTGACCCATACCCTCTTTAGAAATCTTTGTAAGTGGTCCTTTAAGAATAAGAGAGCACGGCTCGGCGCCTATAGCTCAACCGGCTAAGGCGCCAGCCACGTACACCTAAGGTGGCAGGTTCGAATCCCCAGCCTGGACCCGCCAAACAACAACGACGGCTGCAACCAAAAAATAGCCGGGTGTTGTGGCGGACGCCTATGGTCCCAGATCCTTGGGAGGCGGAGGCAAGAGACTCGCTTGAGCCCAGGAGTTGGAGGTTGCTGTGAGCTGTAATGCCACGGCACTCTACCCAGGGGGAAAGCTTGAGGCTCTGTCTCAAAAAAAAAAAAAAGAATAAGAGAGCACATATTAAGTCCCACATTAAATCATTTACTCCTGCTTGGACCAACTCTAGAAGTACCACTGCATAATTTGTCTTCTATAAACCTCTAGTGCTTACCACCTCTCCTATTTCTAATGTTCTTCCATTTCAGGCTGATAGGGAAGGAGAATGGATTTAAAGCCTGGATGAACAGGGAAGACACACTCAGTAGCACCCTTCAAGGTCTAGAGAGTTTTATTTCAAATGCCAAATCGTTATCAAATGCCTCATCTCTACAACATCTGTAATATGCGTTTCTTCTCTTGGGCCATGTAGGACAGAACACTATTCCAGAATTGCTTTCCCACTCACGGCCTTGATCTTACTCATCACCAGAGAAAGAAAACAGCTGCCAAGTGATACTGAGAGTAAATAGTCAGCTGACAAAACAGCAAACAAATAAACCATTTTAAAATCTTCTCAGTAAAAACTTTCACCAAATTATGCCCAAAGATGGGAGAAAAAATATTCTTTAAAGATGGGAGAAAAACTATTAATGCCCTAAATGAAATGTTTTAAAAGCTATTTCTGACTTTTCAATAGTATGATCTTATTACCCCACAAAAGCTGCTTTCATTCTACAGATGAAGACTTCTTTGTTAACTGTTACTATGCAAACATCTCTGGCTCTAGCATACACCAGTTAACAGTGGCTAATTACTCTAGTATACCAATTTGTTTGCCTCCTATCAAATCACGGTGCTACCTATTTGATAGAAGGAAAAGTCAATTATGTGAAAGTGAACAAAATAAATAGCCAAAATAAAAATGCACCCCTTACCACTGCTCATCTGTGTGGACGGAAGTTTCTTCTCCACCATCCTCTCATGGTTGGTGGGAAAGGCAGACAGCTCTCTGTCTGCTGATGCTATCAAGCTCTCCAGGGCAGGAGCATCGTGGGGAGGATGTGCTAAATAAGTCTCTTTGGGCATCTGCACCATGAGGCTGGACAGTGTCTGATCTAAAACATCCTCCTCAGCGATGTAGGTGTACGGACAGTATTCGCGGGTCCTGGAGTAGATGTTGGCATTGTCATAACAATCTGAGCAGATCACTCGGGTGCCAGTGCCACCTAATGGCAACAAAGGAAAGAACCCAAATATCCTTTCATTAAGAAATTAGTTCTTCTAATCATCGGTTTTCTTCAACAGTGTTAATTATCATTACTGCTAGCATTAATGGAACACTTACTTTATAAATCAGTTGAGGTTTTAAGCTTTCTGTCAATCAACTCATTTAATTCTTCACAATATCCCCATAAGGTAGGTAATATTATCCCCACATTAAAGATAGAGAAACTATAGCACAGAAAAGTTAAGCAACTTGACCAAAGTCATATTGCCAGAGGAGCAGAAACTTGAATCCAGGCATTCTGGCTCCAGAGCCCAAGCTCTTGAATGCTATGTTGAATCATCTCTGTCCAGCCCAGATAGGTCATACTAAAATCAAGGGAACCAAGACAAGGCTGGGACTGTGTACAAGACACATGCCTGGCTTAAGCAAAGTAAAGCAGAGAATAAGGAGTTATAGTGATTTTATTTCTTGAAAGTCCATGTTATTTTCATGAGTAAATAGGTTTAGTAATACCAACTGCTAAAAGTATCCCCCGGAGAAAGCCTTTGACAGTCAAGTCTTGACAAGTGTATGACTGACAAAAGTAAAGCTTTAAAAATGACTGTTATGTGTTTCAAAAAATGAATGATGAAGAGTGAGAAATAGTTACTTATTGAAGATAAAGCAAGAGATATCAGAATTAGAAGAAACCAGAAGTAATTTAGTTTAACCCAGAAAGCAGTGTCATTTCCTCAAAATTTCAGAGTACTTTTATATATTCTTTTAAAAGTCAGAGATACCCCTTTCTCCATGAAAAGCTAAAGTAAACCCAATATATCAATTATATAAAGAGAAGTTCTGCTGACACCCAGCCTAAAAAAAAAAAAATTCTCTGAAGAAATGGAATAAATCTTTCATTTGTGTAGTACCACGGATTTGTTGAAGGATCTGTGAACATCCTGAAGAAGTGAGGAAACTGAAGCTCAGATCTTAAGTAAATTGTTCCTGGTACAGAGCTGAAAGAGGAAGAACTAGGAATCAAACCCAATTCTTCTATCCTTTGATTCACTTTCCTGTGTTCTGTCCATGGCAGTGAAGGTGTTGAAACGGTAGAGGGAAGAGATGTAGTGTTGAGATGCCAGGTTCATTCACTAGGGAATACTATATATCTCTCTGATGTTCTCCAATATATAGTTGAAAACACCCTTCATTTTTTTTAAGAGATGGGGATCTCACTATTTGCCCAGGGTGGGCAACAATGCCTACTTATAGGCCCAATCAAAGCCTTGAATTCCTGGGCTCTAGCAACCTTCCTACCTCAGCCTCCCACGTAGCTAGGACAATAGGCATATGCCACTGCACCCAGCTCCTAGTTACCAGCAGGAGTAACCAGCAGTTCTTAACCTGTGGGTCACGACCCACAGGAACTGTATTAAAGGGCCGCGGCATCAGAAAGGTTGAGAACCACTGCTTTAAACTTTACTGAGCATCCACCTGTGAGTAGGGGAGAGTAGTATGTCACCTAAAGGATGCTCATGCCTGAAAACAGTAAGAGACACTTGACGCAACTTTCTCCACCATCTCCTTCCTCTAACAACACAGGTTTGGGAGCCTCTGCTGTGTACTCCAATCCCCTGCTTAAAGGACGATGTGTTTCTCCTTTCTGTAGGATGATTTTCTCTTCTTGTTAAGACCTTAGTCAATTTTTATACTATTTTGCAGGAGGCTAAATGTTTTCAACATTGAGTATATTATTTTGAAATACTGCTTCAAGTGAAATAGTGAAAAATAAAAAATAGGATAGGCTGAAATCATAACCATGAATAACAAGGAGTTGTTACCATCAGTGCCTTTGTGTATATATCCATTGACAGGAGGCATAAGTTGCTGATGACTGCCTGCCTCAGAGTTGCTGTATCCTTCCTGTGGCTCAGACAGTGTTCCTTGGGAAGACAAGTAGCTGGGAATGTCTGCAGGCAGATTGAGCTCCTCTGTAAAAGAGATATCTGTGATTCTCAGTTAGGCAGTTGAAGCCCACACTCAGAAGACTATTTTGCAAATATGTTCCACTCCGATATTACCAGCCAAGAAAATGATATATACCTGGGACCTTAACAGCATTTAGTACTCCCCCTAAAACTATTTCTCACTAGACTTCTCAAAGCTTTTTTCTTCCTTTGAGACAGTCTTTAATTCCGTAGCCCATGCTAGCGTGCCATGGCATCATCACAGCAATCTCAAACTCAAGCGATCCTCCTGCCTCAGGCTCCCGAGTAGCTGCGACTATGGGCACCTTCTACAATGCCTAGCTAATTTGTCTATTTTCAGTAGAGACCAGGTCTCACTCTTGCTCAGGCTGATCCTCCTGCCTTGGCCTCTCAGAGTGCTATGACTGTATGTGTAAGCTACCTTGCCTGGCCTCTAAGCTTATTTTAAAAGTATTACCCAAACCTAAAGGTTAAAAATCTTATCTACAGTCACACATCCACAATCTGACAGAATCTATTTTCTTGCAAGATTTCAGGGTAAGAGTTATAAAACACTAATCTCAATTATCCAGGCTTATATTCAGTAAAAAAAAAAAAAAAAAAGAGAGAGAGAGAGAAGAGACAGACTGGTTTTAACCCTAAGGACTTCACTTTCCCCCAAAGCCAAATTATGATATAAGTGAGCCTCAGACATGAAAGGAAAAAAGGATACCTGCAATGCATTTTATAAGAACAAAGTTTTAGGATAATTTTTACAAATTCTTAAAATTATTTCTCTAAGAGGTTCTATTATACTAAATAAACTGAACATTTTAACAACAAAAAAAAAATTTCCTTATATCATGTATCAGGTAACATAACACAACTCCTCATTTTTTTTTTTAAAGTGATAATGTCTCTGTAATTAGTGTCATCTGGTTGCTGGTACCCTCAATGAATCCCTACAATAAAAAAAAAAAAGAGAGAGAGAGAGAGACAACGTCTCACTATGTTGTCTAGGCCAGAGCGATCCTCCCATGCCAGCCTCCTGAGTACTTGGGACTACAGGTATGTGCTACCATGCCTGGCTCTCAGTTTTTTTATATTTATAATAAATCCTATACTTGGGATTGTTTTAGATTTGTTTTTTGAGATAGGGTCTCACTCTGTTGCCTGGGAAAGAGTGTAGTGGCATCGTCAGCTTACTCAAACTCCTGGGCTCAACGATCCTCCTGCCTCAGCCTTCCAAGTAGCTGCGACTACAGGTATGTGCCCCTGTGCCCAGCCAATTTTTCTTATTTCTGTAAACATAAGGTCTCACTGTTGCTCAGACTAGTCACGAATATACTATATTCTTGACTCAAGTATAGTCATCTGGGTACCACTTACCAGTGTTTGTGATACTATAGTCTTCATTTTTCCTTCTCATGTGGTAAATAACAATGACCCAAATCAAAGAGGTACCCACAACACAGCAGACCACAACAATGATGACAATACCAACTGTGGTCCAGCCATCATCTTCATATCCAATGCTACTCTGGGAAGAGTCACAATTGGAAGATGAAATAACATTTAGGTAAATGTGGCCACGTTCTGTCCCAAGGGTGTTAGACATAATGCAGGTATATTTTCCAGCATCTTCTAGCCCAGCATCTACAATGATGAGAAGTTGGTTGGCTGCAGCAAAGAAGTGTCGTTCTGTCACCAGCAGTGGTCCATCATCTTTAGTCCAGTTGAGGCGAGGGGCAGGACTCCCTCCAGCTATGCACTGTAGTACTGCAGTTTCGCCTCGAGTTACTGTCTTATCCTCCAGAGGTCTAATGAAGGAGGGTGTCTCTAATAAGAGAACATTTAAAAAAATTTTAAGTTAGGCTACTGGATTCTCTAAATCCTATTGGATTAGACTAATGAGGGCTTGATGAAATGAGCACTTTCATATACTCATGGAAGGATTAAAAACTAATGTGTCAGAAAAACAATTATCAAAAAAGCCTAAATCTTATCTCAATATTTCTACCTTGGACAAACTACCTTAAGAAATTCAGGCTCAGCACCTGTGGCTCAATCAGCTAAGGCGCCAGCCACATACACCTAAGGTAGCGGGTTCGAATCCCCAGCCCGGGCCCACCAAAACAA